CCTAATTGTTCTCCCATCTGCTTTGTTCTTCCATTCCCCTCTCCCTACTTGTATATTGCCCCCTCCCTAGCACCCAGACTATCCTGTGTCTAATCTGCCCTTTGCTCCACCTTCCCCTCCCTTCCCTCACCCACCCATGATGCCATTTTTATTGAGTGTGTTTTTGGTAAGTTGCCTCAAATCCATTATAGGATAAAGATACATCAGAGTTTAGAAATTGTAAAGGTTGTCACACTTGCTCTTTAATAAGCACCCCTCTTCTCATTTTCCATTGTATTTATGTACTATTGAGCAAGTAAATGACCTGTAGATTTGCCATCGTATGTGCTCTGTGCTACACAGTAATTTCTGTGTCTCTATTTTCAGTATGATCTTTCTTCCCAAAGGTTGCAGGGAGAGTAGCTGAGGAAAGAGGTGCGGTGCTGGGCCATGAAGTGGGGTACTGCATCCGCTTTGATGACTGCAGCGACCCGCTGACCACGAGAATTAAGGTGAACTGCTGAAGCTGCTTTTCCTATTGTAAATATAAAGAAGATGGTATTTATGAGAATTAGGAAAAAAAGCAACCATCCTTGAGGTTGTCTGACATCTTCCTGGCCCTGAGAGAATTCCGTCATCTTGGAAATGCAGAGCACTTTTGAGAAATATATGAATTCTTAGCCCAGAAAGGATCTTCAAAGTCAGGTTAAGTCCTGGTTTCTGCTGAGGAAGAGGTTGAGGGCCTGGGATATTGCATAACTTGCCAAGTTTATGTGATCATTGTGATAAACCAGGACTCGGAGCCATGTTTTCTCACGTGCGTTTTATTGTTTTCCCATTGATTCACATAGCTGTCTAAATACAGGAACATGCCTGTAAAAGACTTCAAAACAGAGACAAGGTATAGTATAAACTGACAGTGTAGGTTTCACAACTGCTGTTAGGACTAGGTAGAACTTCCTCATATTTTCATAGTAATAGATTTTTACAGATGTGTTCTTTGACCTAGTTGCTAGTCTTAAAATGATCAGTCTCACTACTAATCAGTGAATAATCAGCTCATTAGAATGTCGACTGTGTTCCACTATGCTGGAATTCAAGTCTAATCACAAGTAGTATAAAACACTGAATGAAAATGTTAGGATGAAATAAGCATTGTTTATAAGAATTGCAGTTACCTTTCAGTTTGCATTAGGAAAAGTAGTAATCATCAGAGGAACTAAGTAAACAATGTAACTTGTAAAAATATTGGCCTTGTTTTCTAAAGTTTTTGTGTAGTCTTAATTTAGCCAGGTTAAAGGAATATTCTATACTAGAGTAAGTCATAAAGTATTGCTGTAAAATTATTAAAACCTTTATTAAAGAAGACTATCAAAATATGAAGTTATTTTTTCTTGACACAACCCCCGTTTAGGTTTATACACTACTTGAAGGTGGGGTTTCTGTCTCTAACCTTTCCCTGAAGAATTCTGTACTCTTTGTTTACACCACATCAAAAAACAACAGTTTTGGCATCCTTGAGGGACTCTAATTGTTCCTCTTCAACTAAACCTGAAGCCAAACCAAACCAAACTCCTAGCAAGCCTGTAGGACAGAGTAGGACCCTGTGGGACAGAGTAGGACCCTGTAGGATAGAGTAGGACCCTGTAGGATAGAATAAGACCCTGTGGGACAGAGTAGGACCCTGTGGGACAGAGTAGGACCCTGTGGGACAGAGTAGGACCCTGTGGGATAGAGTAGGACCCTGTAGGATAGAGTAGGACCCTCTGGGACAGAGTAGGACCCTGTGGGACAGAGTAGGACCCTGTGGGACAGAGTAGGACCCTGTAGGGCAGAGTAGGACCCTGCGGGATAGAGTAGGACCCTGCGGGACAGGGTAGGACCCTGTGGGACAGGGTAGGACCCTGCGGGACAGAGTAGGACCCTGTAGGACTGCTCACAGGGTCTCTGAGACTGTAAATTGTGACAGAAGCAAATTGCCTCATCTTTCTGCCATAGAGTTTCCTGTTGGGTTTGAACCGCCAATCTATTGGTTCACAGTTGAGTGCCTAGCTACTGCAGCACTTGCACTCATTCCATACCCCTTCTCCTATCCAGCTTTCCTAAAATACTGTCGTTTGACATTATTTAACAAACCAGATTCCCTGGGAACTGTGAAGCACAGCTGTATCAGACTCACAGAGCTCCCTTAGACCAGGGGTGGACAACCTGGTCTAAGGTTCTGCCAAAATCTATAACATTCTTTGTGGGTCACACAGAATTATCAACTCTGCCTACTGTATTTGGTCAGATACTTAATTGACTGACCCTAATCAGCCGCTCCTCAGAAAACCCATGCCGGGTTGTGATGAGTCAGACCCGACTCAGCGCCACTTAAAATAACAACAAATGTGATGGCTGGAATTGGCGGTTGCCCTGGCAGGGTCAGATCACATGATTTCACAGGTCTTAGAAGACCCGCGGTCTGGATGTGCCCCACCCTTGCCTTAGACAGAGGTTGTCCTCATTGCCGTCCATCCTCAGTACTGGTAGTGAGGGTTCCTAGACCTTAGGGCCTCTGTTCAGATAGTGAATGCAGGGGAAGTTCTGCTAAGAAATTTGCAATCCCCAGGAGGATTCCATGTTTGAAGTTTTGTTTGTGGATAATTCCAGTGCTAAACCAGTACGTTTCCTCACTGTTCTTTTTAGGAATTGTCTTGTATATGTGCTTGTGTAGTGGTTGCACACATTTAGTTGCACTTGAGCCTTAAAAAGAAAATTAAAATACAATATAAATGAATTATTTCTGAAACTGTGTGTTTTTATTCTTCAGTTTCTGACTGATGGAATGCTGGTCAGGGAAATGATGGTTGATCCTTTGCTAACAAAATATAGGTAAGTGTGCTTGGCCTATGATAATGTTCCTTAAGTTTTTAAAGTACGCAAATAGCTAATGTTGCTATGATTTGCATTAGCATTCAGCTGTCCCAGAGTTTTTCCTCCACCTCGGCTCTTGCATTCCTTTTTTTTTTGTTAGAATTAAGGTACCAAGGCCATTTATAGGCATTAATAGGTACATTAAAGCCCTTGCCATTATTTCAACCACCTTTCACTTGTTCTATCTTGGCCAGGATTGATGGTGACTGTAGAGCCTTAGCACAGAGTAGAACTACCCAGTGTTTCATGGAATAGTCCCAATTTTGGGGTATCATTTTTCCCTCCTTGTGTTGGCTCATCCAAGCCTTTCAGTCTCTGGGAAAGGAAGGCACATGATTCCCTAGTACACATGTGATGCCCTTGTAATCCTGTGCCTCTTTGTTCTGTTTTCTACAGGCTCATAGTCCTCAGGGGGTTGGCCCTTGTTCTGACTTATGTGCCCTGTGGGGCTATATGCTGTAACTTAAAATCAGATGTTAAATCCTATTGGAATCCAATGATGGCAGTAAAAGCTTTTTATTTAGAGATAGCAATAAAGACAAAATTTTCTTATCTAAGATCTTTTGTGGCCACTATTTTGATTAGTTTATGGCTACCTCAGGGTCACTGAAGAAGTACTTGGCTTGACTTTTTTGTTGTTGTATAAATATATCTTCACACAACTTTTGTCAATTCAACTTTTATAGGTATACAACTTATTGACAGCAATTATAATAATTGGCTCTGCAATCTTACCCTTAATCAGTGTGATTTTTCTTCTACCGTGAACTCCTGTTTTCCCCTTCTTTGCAACCTCTGGTAACCACTAATAAACTCGCCTCAATACATTTTCCTTGTCTTTTGATATAAGTGAGGTCATATATATTGTCTTTTATGATTGACTTGTTTCACCCAGCATAATGTCTCCAAGCTCCAACATACTGTGTCATGTGTCAAGGTGTCAATTCTCCTTTGGGCTGCATCAGATTCTGCTGTACATATGTGGACCACATTTTGCTTATCCATTCATTTGTTGGTCAGCATTCAGGTTTTTTCCACCCTTTGGCTATTGTGAACAGTGCTGTAACAGACATTGGTGTCTGTTTTGAAGTCTCTGCTTTGAAGTCTTTTGGATGTATGCCTAAGAGTAGAATTGCTGGGTCATGGTGTAGTTCTATTTTTAGTTTTTCTGAAGAACCAACACACTGCTTTCCACATCAGGTATACCATTTTGTATTTCCACCAGCATTGGGTAGTGCGTTCCACATCCTTGTCAACATTTATTCTTTTCTGCTTTAAATAAATGTTTTGTTGTAGCCATGGTTTTGATTTGTATCTCTGATTGCTAATGATACTGAACAATTTCATGTGTTTGTTGGCCATTTCAGTGTCTTCTTTGGTGAAATGTCTGTTCACGTCCTTTGCCCATTTTCTGATTGGGTCATTTGTTTTTTTGGTATTACCAAAGTTTTATATACATTTTGGTTACTAGATCCCTGTTAGATACATGATTTCATAAAGATATTCTAGTCGTTAGCTTATCTTTTCACTTTCTTAGTAACGTCTTTTAATGAACAGAACTTTTTAATTTTTATTATAATAAGTAATTTTATTTATTTTGTCTTTTGCTATTTGTGCTTTGGTTGTTGTATTAAATAAGCCATTGTTGAAAGGTAGGCCTGATGCATTAGCCCTACTTGTTCTAAGAATTTTATGGTTTTCATTTGAACATTTAGGTCCTTAATCCATTTTGAATTTGTTTTTGTGTAGGGTGTGAGGCAAGGATTCTAATTTATTTTTCTGCTTGTAGAAATCCAATTTTCCCAGCACCATTTATTGAAGAGACTTTTTTTCCCATTGGCGAAATCAGCTGACTGTAGATATGTGGATTTATTTCTGGGTTCTCAGTTCTATTCCATTGGTCTGTGTGTCTTTTGTTGTACCAGCACCAGGCTTTTTGATTAGATGTATTTTTGTTATTAGGTGCCATCGAGTTGGTACCAACCCATAGCGTTATTATGCACAGCAGAACGAAACACTGCCCGATCCTGGGCCGACCTCACCATTGTTGCCATGCTTTAGTCCATAAATGCTGCTATTTGATTAGATGTATAGTACATTTTAAAATGAAGAAGTTTGAGTTCTCTTTCTTTTTATTAAGCATTGTTTTAGCTATTCAGGACCTTTTCTTTTTCATATAAAATTGTGTATTGGTTTTCCTATGTCTGTAAAGAAGGCTATTGGAATTTTTACTGTGATTGTGTTGAACCTACGGGTTGCTTTGGGTAGTATTGACATCTTAATGTTAAGTCTTTCAATCCATGAACATGGATCATTTTTCTAATTTAAGACTTTTTAAATCTGTCAGTAGTGTTTTATAGTTTTTATTGTATAAGTCCTTTAAGTTCCTGGCTAGATTTAGTCCTAGGTAGTTTATTCTCTTAGATGCTATTATAAGTGTAATTATCTCTTTAATTTCCCTTTCGGATTTCTCCTTGTTGGTGGTTAGAAACCCTACTGATTTTTTTGTTGACCGTGCCCCCTGTAACTATGTTAGATTTCTCTATTAGCTCTAGAAGCTCTCTGTGAACATTTTTGAATTGTCTGTGTACGAGGTGGCTTCAAAAAGCTCATGGAAAGATGGAATTGAAAGACAATGGGATTTTTCTGTACTTTTGAAGCCCCCTCATATAGGATCATGTTGTTCACAGATAGAGATGATTTTACTTCTTTTCTAATATGCATGCCTTTTATTTCTTTCACTTGTCTTATTGCTCTGGTTAGGACTTCTAGTACAATGTTGAACAGAGCTGATGAGAGCGGGCACCCCTGTCTTGTTTCCTATTTCAAGGGGAAAGCTCTCAGTCTATCTGTTATGTTGGATGTTGGCTTTTCATATATGCCTTGAATCATATTGAGGAATTTCCCTTCTATTCCAGTCTTCTTGAGGGTGTTCATCAAGAAAAGGTGTTGGATTTTATCAGATGTGTTTTCTGCACTCCTTTGTTTTACTGATGAAGTGATTATGTTGATTGATATTCTAATGTTGAACCATCCCTGTCATCCTGGAACACAACCCACTTGGTATGTGACTCTTCTAATATGATGTTAGATTCTGTTTGCTAGGATTTGTTGAGGATTTTTGCACCTATATTTGTTGTAAGAGATTTTGGCCGGTAGATTTTTTTGTGGTTATCTTTGGTTTATGCTTGTTTCAAAGAATGAATTTGGTAGTATTCTTTCTCTTTTGGAAGAGTTTAAACATTAGTGAAGTCATTGGTCCAGGACTTTTTGTTGTTGTTGTTGGGAGGCTTTTGATCACTAATTTGATTTCTTTACTTGTTATAGGTCTGTTGAGACTTTCAGTTTCCTCTTGAGTTAGTTTGGGTAGGTTGGGTGTTTCTAAGAATTTGTACACTTCATCTAGGTTGTCTAGTTTGTTGCCATACAATTGGTCTTAATATTCTGTCATAATTCTCTTTATTTCTTTTGGGTCAGTTGTAACAATTGCCTCTTTCATTTTTTATTTTGATCATTTGCATAGTTTCCTTCTTTGTCAGTCCAGCTAAAAGTGTGTCAATTTTATTCATCTTTTCAAAGAACCAATTTCTGGTTTGTTGATTCTCGCTATTGCTTTCAATTTTATTTATTTATTGTTTTCAATTTTATTTATTTATGCGCTGATCTTTGTTATTTTCTTTCTTCTGGTAGGTTTAGGATTAGTTTACTTTTCTCCTGGAGTTGTGGAGTTAGGCAACTAGTTTCATATTTTCCTTCTTTTTCATGTATTAGCTTTACTTTTGGTACAAGTGATTGCATGGAGTCTAAATACTCAGACAGGTCTGGTAGTCTGGATGGGGTAAGATGGAGTGGTGTGCTCATCAAGATCTTTCTTCTTGATTCTTAGTGCCATCATGCTGGATGAAGCCCATGAGAGGACCTTGTATACCGACATTGCCATTGGCTTGTTAAAAAAGGTATGACTTTGTTGCCACACTTTTGTTGTTTTGTTTTGCCTAATTATAAAAGTAATTAAAGCAATTTGGAAAATCTAACAAAATACAAAGGAAAGTATTTCATGCACTCAGAGAAAGCCACTGTTAAGATGTTGGTATATTTTCTTCTTTTTCTGTGGGTGTCTGTGTGTGTGGCACAAATATATTTGAACATAATAGAGATTATAGTGTATCTTCTAATTTTTATCTTGCATCTCTCCCTAATGAGCACTGGGATCATCAAGGTCATTTTCCTGTGTCATTAAATATTCTTTGGGGACATTATTTTTAATGGCTGTGTAATCACATGTGTGCCATAAAGTATTTAACTCTTCTCCTACTGTTAGCTATTTATTTGGTTTCTAGATCTGTAAGTATTTTTAATAATGATGCAGTGAGTATACTTGTAATTTAATCTGTGATGTGTGTTTCTTTTTTGACTATTACAGAAGATTTTCAGTTTATCCTAAAGTAGAGAGGTGAATATAATGAATCCCTATGTGTTCATCATCTACCTTCAACAAGTATAATTCATGACCAGTCTTGTTTCAACTGTATGTCACCCTTGTTGTTGTTGCTGTTAGGTGCCATCAAGTTGGTTGTGATCATAGCGACCCTGTACACAACAGAACAAAACACTGCCTGGTCCTGTACCATCCTCACAATTATTGTTACACTTGAGCCCATTGTTGCTGCCACTGTAACCTCCCCCATACACTTTCTGAATGTTTTCTTTGGACAAATTCCCCATCATAGCCATCTGGAAAGAGGTGGTAGAGCAGGGTGATAAAGAACCTGATGGGCTCTGGGTTAGACTTCTTGGCTTCAAATCCTGATCTACTGGCCATGTCACCTTTGTCAAGTTACCCAATCTCTCTGTGAATCCATCTAGTCCTGTCTAAAATGAGGGTTCTATTGGCAGGCCTGACCTAGATCGTAAATTGTGAGGCTTACGTGACATCATGTTTAGCTTTCAAAATGGTGCCTACAAAGGGTTATAACCAGCCTGTAAGGTGGCTTTATGCAAAAAAAAAAAAAAAAAAAAAAGCCTTCTGTGTGATAGTGCCCCATGGCTAAGGGAGGGTGGGCTGGATTCTAGATACTACTAAAGCCTCAGCCCAAGTATCTTTCTGCAGTGCATATGCTATACAACTGGACATAGTGGCCCTAGAATAGCATATAACTCAGTATATGTTAGGTGCTTTCTTGTTATTTTTGTTATTATTTCTTGGACAAAAGGTTAAGACTTTCTAATGTTTTTGTTAAGTGCTGTCAAGTCTGTTCTGACTCATAATGACCCTGTATAGGGTTTTTGAAAAGTGGTTGGTGAGTTTGAACTGCCAGCCTTGGGGCTACCAGTCCAGCGCTTATCCTATAGGACCCCAGACTTTCTGATACCTACTAGGAATTCTCTTACCAAATGTTTACTATCTTCTCGAATATAAGAGAACCTGTTTTAATGAACTGTTGCCAACACTATCAGCCTTAAAACAGTAAATCCTTGCCAATGTGATAGATGAAAATAGTGATCTCATTATTATTGTTACACATTTTAACTGCTAGTTCATTTGATCATTTCTTATAAGCCTGCTGAGTATGTATGTTTCTTTGAATGACTGCTAATACCTGTTGTCCACATTTATGTCTTAGTGCTATGATTTTTTGTTTGTTTGCTTTTATATTGAAGTCTGTATGTGCATAGCTTTTAACTATACAGAGATCCAGGTGTCAGGGAGAGTGATCATTTCAAGGAAAGTCAGAGTTGGGTCTTGAAGTTGCTTTATACTTTCTTTGAAATTTTAGAATTTTTTTTTCTTAATTTTGGAAAATTTCAAACAGTTGCAAAATTAGAAAAAATAGTATAATGAAGCCTCCTTTTGCATATGACTCTCACCATGATCAATTTATGAACAGTCTTATTTCATCTGTAGGCCCCTCCCACTACCAAAGAATTACATACACTGAATTATTTTGATATAAATACCAGACATCAAATTATTTCATCCACAAATATTTCAGTGTGGTCACTGTCTCTTGATGCTTTCTTCTGTAGATTCAGAAAAAACGAGGGGATCTTCGATTGATTGTTGCCTCAGCCACTCTGGATGCGGAGGTAAGAAGGAGCATTCCCTCCTATAGCAGAAGCAGTGATGGACATGGTGTTGGGAAGTTGCCTTTAGTAAGAGCTGCTTTTTGCCCGAATGACCTGCCTTTCTTACAGGACCATCAGATGTCCTCGATTTCAGCTGTGGGTGGAAATTGGCCTGTAATTAGCTGAGTTTATAATTACCTGCTTGGCTTGTTTCTCTACATACTATTATTTCTCCCCACGTAGGCAGTTTCTTTTTTATTTTTTTCAGTCTTAGGCTATATGTTTTTAATTTTTTTACATTCATACAATTATTGAATAAAAATTTATTGGGCATTATCTATAATGAATTCAGCAAGATACTCAAGACTCAAAGAAAATACAAGCTATGATCATATGTGTTGAGTATGTAGTGGTGGAATGGAGGGGATTGATCAGAGTTGAGCATCTGCTTGCAATATTCTTTGTTGGTTAGTAAAATAGTTATTGAGCTCCAGAAGCACAGAAAAAGGGCATCTCAGGTTTCTGGACAGAGTATGAAGTCAATTAGAAAGAGTATTCTTCACTGTAACTTAAGTGTTAATAGGTAGATGAATAATAGAGGTTAGACTACTTGAAAAGAAATTGAAAGTGTATTTCATTAGGCTATATTTTTAAAATTTATTATGACTATAGAGGGAGCTCTGGTAGCATAGTGATTACAAGTCGGACTGCCAACCTCAAGGTCAGCAGTTTGAAACTACCCATGGTTCCACGGGAGAAAGATGAGACATTCTGCTACCGTAAAGATTACAGCCTCAGAAACCCTGTTCAGGGTCACTGAGTCAGAACTGACTCCACAGTACTTAACAACAACAACATAGCATAGATGGAATTCTGGTGTGATGCTGTAGGATAAGCACTGCCCTGTGAACCCAAAGGTTGGTGGTTCAAACTCATTAGCTAGCTGCTCCTTGGAAGCCCTATACAGGGTTGCTATGAACTGGAACTGACTTGATGGCACTTGACAACAACAACATGGCATATATAGGAGCCCAGGTGTGGCATTATAGGTTAATTACTGGACTTCTAACCTCAGGTCTGGTAGCGTAGTGGTTACGAATCGGGCTATGGACCTTAAGGTCAGTGGTTCGAAACTATCAGCTGCTCTGCGGGAGAAAGATGAGGTGTTCTGCTCACGTAAAGATTTACATCCTTGGAAACCCTGTACAGAGTCGCTATGAGTTGGAACTGACTCCACGGCCCATAACAACAACAACAACCTTAGGTCAGTAGTTCAAACCCACCAGCACTCCGTTGAAAACCCTGTGCAGGGTTGTAACCAACACGGCAGCACTTAAAAACAACAACAGTGGCATACATAAAGGAAAGCTGGTGATGATGTAGGATAAAGCACTAGACTACTAACCACAAGGTCAGCAGTTCAAGCCCACTAGCCACTCTGCAGGAGACTTTTTGCTCCTGTAAAGATTTACAGCTTTGGAAACCTTGCACAGGATTTATCATTATCTAACATGAATTTCTGGAGTCATGGTGTGGCACTGTGGGTTAATGCGTCAGACTGCAAAGTCATTTGAACTGCAGCGTCAGTGGCTCAAGCTCACCAGCTGCTCCTTAGAACCTCTGTACAGGGTCGCTGTGGGTCGGAATTGACTTGATGACACATAACAACAACAACATGAATTTCCAAGTATTTATTGTATGCCTCCCATCACTAAAATGTCAATTCCATGAAAATAAGGATTTTGATGGTCTTATTATTTTGTCTCTTGTACCTGAAACAGTATCTGGTTTGGATTAGGCATTTGGGTTGAATGAATTTTAACTGAATGTGCATCAGTGGGAGATTAAATGACAGCTCAGATCAGGACAAGCTCTACAAAAGAGCTGCATCCTGCATCTGATCAGGAGCCTTTGGAGGATGTGGAGTAGAGTGGTGACTTGATTATCTGAGTTCTAGAAAGATCACTTAGGGTGCTCTGTAGAGACAGGAAGAGTTGAAATTGGAGCTGCCAATGGGAAGCCTGTTCTGTAATACAAGTCAGATATGAAAAGGACTTAATTCCTAGTGTTCCAGTGGTTTCAGGGATGCAGGACAGCTTGGAGGAAAAAATGCTCAGTATGGGTTAAGAGAGACATTTGTTATGTGTTTGCTGGTTTCCCAGGTTTTTCCATAGGCTGTAGGGTTCTGTGTCGTAGGTCTGCCCATGGTGACTTATGAGTCAGAGCCCCTTTGTTGTTTGTTGTTCTCTTTAATTCACTATGAGCTCCTTCATGATACCTGCTGGAAGGCTGTTTCAAGCACTCTCATGGAGTGCTGGAGTCCTGGTGTGGCACTGTGGGTTAATGGATCAGACTGCAAAGCTGTTTGAACTGCAAGGTCGGCAGTTCAAGCTCACCAGCTGCTCCTTAGAAACCCTATACAGGATCACTATGGGTCGGAATCGACTCGACGGCACTTAACAACAACCATGGAGTGCTGGTGTAACTCTGTAGTATAAGCACTGAACTGGTAACTTCAAGGTCAGTGGTTCAGACATACCAGCCACTCTTCAGAAACCCTCTACAGGGTCACAATGAGTCAGAAACAACTCCACAGCACTTAATAGCAACAGCAGTGATATAACCTGACCTCATTTGTCTTGTGTCTCTAGTGGCTCCATTGCATAGTGTCTTCTTTCTGTTTCAACTTATTTTGAACCTTTTTCTTTTTTCTTATAATTTAATTTAAATTTTATTGTGGTAAAAATACATAGAAAGCAAAAAGGTTGCCATTTTAATAATTTTTAATTGTACAGTGACCTTAATTACGTTCACCTTGTTTTGCTAGCATTACCACTATCCATTCCTAAAAGTTTGACACCACCATAAATAGAAACTCAGTACCCCTTAAGCAGTCACTCCTATTCACCCTCCTCCCCTTGTTGTCGTCGTTAAGTGCCGTTGAGAAGATTCAGACTCATAGTGACCTGATATAGGATTTCTGAAGAGCAGCTGGTGAGCTTGAACCGCTGACCTTGCAGTTCAAACTGACTTTGCAGTCCAGCATATTAACCCACAGCCCCACATCAGGACTCCAGTAAACTGTATGCATTTGTCTCTTCTAGATATTTCATATCAGTGGGATCATGCAGTGTTTGATCTTTTAAGCTTTACTTCACTGAGGATAATGTTTTCTAGGTTCATTCATGTTGAAGTATGTAGCAGGACTTAATTCTCTTTATGGTTGAATAATATTCCACTATATGTACATGCCACATTTGTCCTGTTGGTGGACACTTGGCTTATTTCTGCCTTTTAGGGATTGTGGACAATGTGCCACTGTGCATGTTGGTGTACAGGTATTTATTTGAGCCCTTGCTTCAAGTTTCTCGGACTAGGCCTGGAATAGCTGGGCCATATGACATTTTACATGTTTTGAAGAACTGCCAGATTTTTTGCTGTACCATTTTACTTTCCCACCAACAATGCACAAGGGTTCTACTTTTTCCAACAGTTGTTTTTGGTTTTGCTGTTAATAGCTATTCCAAGTGAGTGTGAAGTGGTATCTAGTTTGGACTTGCATTTCCCTAATACTACCAACGTCTTCAATCTGAAATTGATCAAACATGCAATCAAATGTATTGATTGTTACTGGTGATATTGGAATGCAAAGGTTGGGAGCAAAGAGGAAGGATCAGTAGTTGGAAAATATGGCCTTGGTGATAGAAGTGATGCTGGAGAACACATGATAGAGTTCTGCAAAACCAATGATTTGTTCATTTCAAATACCTTCTTTAGACACCATAAGAGATGACTATACACATGGACTTCACCAGATGAAATACATAGAAATCAAATTGACTACATTTGCGGAAAGAGGCAATGGAAAAGCTCCATATCATCAGTGAAAACAAGGCCAGGGGTAGACTGTGGGACAGATCATCAATTACTCATATGCGAATTCAAACTGAAGCTGAGGAAAATGAAAACAAGTACACGAGAGCCAAATTATGACCTTGAATATATTCCACCTGAATTTAGAGATCATCTAAAGAACAGATTTGATACATTAAACACTAAAGACCGAAGACCAGAAGAGTTGTGGGATGACAAA